GCCGGTTGAGCTATAGGCGCCGAGCCGACACTGGCTTTTATAACCAATACGGCACAGTTAAAACGGACTCATCTCTTAAAAACTAAACCCTTTCTATAAATATTCATTTTAAGCTTGTATCAAACGAAATTGCGAGAATTTAAGAACATTCCTTACCTGCAACTTTTGATACATCTCTATGTTAATCGCTTTAACTTCCTCTAGTTGTTGTCGAAGGCCTATCAGAGTATCTTGTTTCTCGTGGATATCTTTCTCCAGCAACTTCATGGCAAGTTCAATCTCATGTTTCATACTCACTTGTACTGCTAGCTCATTCTCCACATCCTGAAATTTCAACATATCCTTATTTCACATGCTGCTTCAGGATGTCCAAATCAGCTACACAACGGTTAATAGGATCAAGATATTCCTTTCGATATGTAGACTACATATCTTTTAAGTCTACTAAAGGGAATATGCCAGGCCCTATACCTTTTAATATGCCATACCTGTTAAGTCTACTGAAGGGAATATGCCAGGCCCTATAGCCACATAATATTTTAAATATTCTCAAATGCAGTTTTTTGCTAAATGGAAAGCATTTTCTATATTCTTTTAATCATTGCTATTCTACTGGTTCAAGAATTAAATATTTTTAGGTCCCATAAACCCAGTATTAATTTTCCTTAAACAGAAGGAAATAAGGCTCTCTGAACCTATTCTGGTTTGAGGGGCTGAATGATACAAAAATAAAATAAAAGGAAATAAAGCAGTGTGCACAGGTAAAGGCCAAAGATAATTCAAACAGTGTTAACTTCTTTTCTTAAAGAATTTTTATGGTGGCTCAGCATCCATAACTGAGTGGTTAGGGTGCAGGCCACATACACTGGATCTGGATGGTTCAAACCCAGCCCCAGTCTGCTAAACAACAATGACAACTACAACAACAACAAAAATAGCTGGGCCTTGTGGTAGGTGCCTGTAGTGCAAGCTACTTAGGAGGCTGAGGCAAGAGAATCACTTGAGCCCAAGAGTTTGAAGTTGCCGTGAGCTGTGACACCACAGCACTCTACCAAGGGCGACATACTGAGACACTGTCTCAAAAAAAAGAATTTTTATGGCTGGGCCCAGTGGCTCACACCTATAATCCTACCACTCTGGGAGACTGAAGTGGGTGGACTGTTTGGGCTCAGGAGTTTGAGACCAGCCTGAACAAAGTGAGACCCAGGTTCTACTAAAAATAGAAACATTAGGCTCAGCACCTGTAGTTCAAGTGGTTAAGGTGTCAGCCACTTACAGCAGTGCTGGTGGGTTCAAATCCAGCTCAGGCCTGCCAAACAACAATGACAACTACAACCAAAAAATAGCCAGGTATGGTGGGTGCCTGTAGTCCCAGCTACTTAGGAGGCTGAGGCAAGAGAATTGCTTAAGCCCAGGAGTTGGAGGTTGCTGTGAGCTATGATGCCA